ATGTTGCGCTGACTCGTCAAGAATGCAAAGTAGGTTTATTAATAACGGGGTTTTAGGCTTTAGTTTAGCCCAGAGAAAACGTGATTCACGATGCCCACTCCAAATGGGCACGTATTCTTTGTCACACTGGAATGGCAAAAGGAGGCAATTAGAGTGGATATTCTTTTTTTTTGCGGGGAATTAGAGTGGATATTCAAACCTAGGTTATCTGGAATTCTAGGTTATCATTGATTGAACGTAAGTCAACTGAAGCATTGGATCCGATCAATGCTACCATCCATTTTTAATGTGCTAGAGAGATAACTAAAGTTCAGTCTACCTCGAATCTTAATTCACCTCCATTTTTAGTTATTCGATTCCACATCATTTAAACGTCATAGCACAAAGTTCACAGAGAACACATATTCTGACCGACTCACACTTCTTCGATTTGCCCCATCATCATCTATAAATAGACACCGTTCAGTCACAACCATCATAAACCTCCAAAAGAAACAAACAGCATAGATATATAGCTAGCTCAAGTGAAGCGAGCTGATCAGATCGTTAGATTTAGGTTCGTAGAGAAAGAGTTTGCAAGTTGAGCAATGGCGGAGAGGGTGAGGCGGCTGGCGTCGCAGCGCGCGGTGGTCATCTTCGGGGCGAGCAACTGCTGCATGTGCCACGCGGTGAAGACGCTCTTCACGGAGATGGGCGTGAGCTGGACGGTGCACGAGCTGGACAAGGACCCCCGCGGGAAGGACGTTGAGAGGGCGCTCGCCGGCATGGTTGGCCAGAACCCACCTGTGCCGGCCGTCTTCATCGGCGGCGCGCTCGTCGGCCCCACCGACAAGGTCATGTCGCTGCACCTCGGCGGCCAGCTCGTGCCGCTCCTCCGCCAAGCCGGCGCTCTCTGGCTCTGAACTTCTAAAGAATTAAGGACAGCAGTGGCTAATGCGTACGTGCGGCTACATAATTTTGGGAAGGTCATCAAACATATTAACGGTCATGATCTTTCAGTTGTACCTCTTGTTGTCACATGACAGAAGGACAGGATGCTTTGTAAGAGGTGGGTATTCTGAGCAATATTAAATGATGAGCTTATGCTTAACTTGTCGTTGCTAATTTGATGCTTTGCTTAATTTAGCTGGCTGCTGTGCTAAGACCATGAGAGAACCAACGTTATACATATATAATTGGCACCGTGATTCGCATTGACATGGCTTGAATTCTTGAGTGACTTAAGGGACTGATGTTTGTGCTACATTGAAATGGCATGTTGCTTGACCATTTCAAATACATCATATGGAAATTTGTTTGGTAGTATTTTCTCTAATGATTATTTGTTGTTATTTTCGGTAACAACATAAAGAACAGCGTGGACAACAATGAAGAAGAAAGTACATTTCCAAAATAATTTCAACCCAACAAATGTCCAAAATCATTGCAGCATGTTGCTCATGTGTACACACCATATACCATACAGGCCGCGAATTGAGAGCATCTCAGCTGGATAGGTTTCTCATGGTGGAACTTGCCCACCCATGTTCAAGTACTAGACTTGACACGGGCCTTCTTAAATTATCCTATTCCCTTCAGAGAGGGAGTCAAAACACCCTACACAACATAAAAAATGTTGATTTCACGGACCTCTCACCGTCAACAATGGAGGCGTCGAACATTGCCGGTTGGGGCATGCATCCATGAACCCGTCTTGTGATGCCAAATAGCGCAAACCTAAAATTATTCCCCACCATTTCGATATCTTTTCATATCTCGGTGGCACAAAATAAAGTTCCACTATGAGATCGCTCATCCATTATCCATGGTGTGAGCTCCACCGTACCTAGGGTGGAGTATGGTGTGATTGCTTGATATGTTTTGAACACACACACACACACACACACACACACACACAGAGAGAGAGAGAGAGAGAGAGAGAGAGAGAGAGAGAGAACCTTTAATTTGCGAGAGTGCGCACATAGATAAATCATCTGTATTGAAAAACCCTTGTCACATGAGTTGCTCTTGTGACTCGCGAGGCATTTTTGCCGCCAACTCCGAAGACCCATCCCACATGCCTTACTCCCCACCACCACCATTATCAGCTGATCCAACATGCTCTCTTTTATGATTGATGAACACCACTTGTAGCTAGAGCGAGATCCCATGCCCCAACAATGTGTTAGTTGGCCCCGTGGTTCACGTTGAGGTGAGGTAGGTACCTTGGACGTTGGGGTGCCGCATGATCTAGCTGTTGTTGGTGCATACATTTCCATGTGATTCTGGCATGTGTAAAATGACAAGGTCAAACCGTACTGAGCACTTCATGACCTATATAAACAGATTATCCGTGATACTTGCATCATTTTTGTAAGTAGAATCTACGATATTCAACTTCATCTTCTATATCTAAATAGTTAGCCCCCACTAACTATTTCTCTCAACATGCAAGAATGCCACATCATCACACAACATGCACGAGAAAAGGCCCACCTTCACTACCATATGTCTTTCAACATGCAAGCATGTCACTTCATCATGAAACATGCATTGAGAAAAGATTCATCTCAACATGCAAACATACATGAGAATTTTCATTCTATAAAGTTATGTATATTTAATAAATATTTTACAACTATATAGTAGTCAAACATAATGAATTATCTGTATTTTCAGTTTTAGCTTTTTATATTATTACTTCAAATATTCATGTTTCATATAACGAATCACACTGAGATATGTTGCGAAATATTCCCGCAACAACGTGCGGGGTATCAGCTAGTTTCACAAGTGTCGAGGTCCTAAATTGATTCTGTCATATAAATGCTTAGAGATAGTGGATACACTAGCACCTAGAGCGTGTAAAAGCATTGATTTTGTTTAACTATACCAATATTGATGATGTGCTCCCATATGTTAGCTTGTCTAACGGGGAGCATTTTAACCATCTCCCATCTTGGTGGATTCAAACTCTAGCCCCCACGTATGTTTGTGCAAACTCTCTTCACAGATTATGAATAATTAGGATCCTTGCCATATTGGGCTTTTGGCATCTTTAAATTTAGTATTTCAATAGAGTCTTCCACAGAGTATCCAAATCGTGATCCATCTTCATGCTCCTCTTCTTCATATACTTGCATGGCTTGGGTGGAGCTCTTCGTCTTGATTTACTCAATGGTGTTGGACTCTGGCTTGCCTGCAACTTGGGTAAAATGAGAACTTGACCTCTGAATGATACTTACGAATTCGATGTTATTTGTCCTTTTTCTGAAACATTTCCACATCAGAAGTAAGAGTTTCTAAATTACTAGCCAATTGGCATAAACAAAAGTCACAAACCATATTTTAGTGCAAATATTATTCCGCTTCATCTGAGCATTGCTTAATTGCTTTGGCGCATCTTGCAGACTTTGGCGGTTTGGAGTGTCATTGTTGTAGCCGTTTGAAGTACATGCGTGCATGGACAACATAAAACTTTCAAATTTGCCACCATAAGAATTAGAGTTCTTCCACCATCGTTAAAATTACTGCTACCTATAAAATTAACATCATTAGAAGCATAATCAACAATAACATTAATGGAGATTAGACCTGAAATATCCATGCTTATCAATTTTTTAATCATATTTCACTATTACTCGTTAGTTTTCTTCACCTTTAATAACATTTTTCTCATATTGTCATGGGCCTTGGTGCCTTCTCAACATGCCATTGGATATGGTTCTTAGTCGACATTCTACAACTTGATAGCTTCCACTCGCATGTTTACCCCTAAATGCTACACATATGGTAGTTCCAAGCATATTTTCAGAAATAGGGTGTAAGGCATGGTAAAAAATGTGGATAATGGGCCATTCTTACATCCCACAATCGAGGCAATTTTAGGTGGCTTCCTCCATTTTGTTGCCAAGCGATGGCAAAGGTATGTGATTATTTCAGCAAACACTGTAATGTTAACACACAACCACATGATTTAGTAAGCTAATTGGGATCAAAGCCAAATTAACCCGTGTGAGTGTTAATTTCAAAAGGTCATGTCAATGGTGTGCTTTTGTCCACTAATGGCTTTATTATTATAAAGCCGCACTCTTGTTGGGCTTTTTTAATAGAAGAAAAAAGAATGTAATTGTGAACCATGTGATAAATTTGAGACCTTGATAAGTGCCACATGTGTGGCATAAACGCATGACAACTCGGAATATTTTTGATAGCAAGTTTAGTGGCGCGAAGATGACAATTTTAGTTGTCAAGCATGAGAATTTTCTTTTCATATGGTAAGTTTCAATTTTTTTGAGTTTGTAAAAGCATCATGGCCGGAGTGCTTCATGCCACATGTGCGGCATTTATCATTTGGGTTAATTTGTTCATAGTATACCTGGCCCAAAAAAACCCGACCTGACCCGGTCCGGTCTTGCTCATGGGCAGGGCCTGGGCCTAGGCTTTGAACCTGAAGGACACGCCGAGCTGGGCCTGAGCTTGCCATATTTGCGTTTCACGGAAGAGACCCGGCTTGAACCCCAACGAGCTTTTTCACTGACGGGGCGGACTTGGGTCTAAAAACTAGGCCCGATGACTGTCCGGCCCAGGCCCGGGCCTAGGTTTTCTGCTTTAGGCTTTGTCAGGCCCGGCCCGGCTCTGCCTGATAGATGACCAGGTATAGTTCATACAAACCTGACCAACTCGGGCGGCCTGCAGGCAGGCCGCCCCGTTAGCACGCATGCCTGGCCCGTGACGGGGGCGGCCGACACGTGATTAATGGGCCATGCTTGGGCCTAGAGGCTGGGCACGCCTGCTGGCCCAGCACGGCCCATTTAGGTTTTTAGTTTTTAAATACTTTTTAGGCTAATAGGCAGCCCAATAGGCTAAATAATAGGTGTGCTGATGGTTAAATGTGCCGATGGGCTGGCCCGTTTAATATTAGTGCCATGCCTGGGCCTGGTAAGGCAGAACGCGTGCTGGCCCTGCACGGCCCATGTAGTTTGCGTGCCGTGCCAGGCCCGTATAACCCAGGCCGGGCCATGCCGTGCCGTGCCAGCCCATCTGGCCAGGTTGGAGTTCATAGGAAAAAATGGACCCTGTTCGGAAATAAACCCCTCCGGAGCCCAAACCCCTCCCAGTCCTCTCCCCTGAAAAATCCCCCACATCTGACCGGCCAAAATATGGACGGCGATGGACCGCCGCCGCCGGCCGCATCGGTGGCGTCGGTGCTCGGCGACGACGACCTCTTCCGCGAGATCCTCCTCTGCCTCGGCTTCCCCAACCTCCTCGTCCGCGCCGCCCTCGTCTCCAAGCGGTGGCTCCTCCACGCCTCCGATCCGGTCTTCCTTCGCCGCTTCCGCGAGCGCAACCCGCCCCGCCTGCTCGGATTCTACGCCGGCTACCCCGGCCGGTATCAGTTCGTGCCGCTCCCGCAGCCCCCGGAGCTGGCCGCCCTCTCGCGCCGCCCGGCCTCTTCCTGCGACGGCGCCTTCGCCCGCGGAGCCGAGCGACTCATCCACTGCCGGAACGGCCGCCTCCTCACTGCGTTCCGCAGCCGCTGGCGCCAGCTACGCGGCGGCAGTTTCAAGCACTATCTCCTGGCGCCGCTGCTCGCCGGGGAGGCCCCAACCGTCCTCCCACCAGCACCGCCGCCCATCCACGGGCGCGCTCTAGCGAGATTCACGCAGATGTTCCTACCCGAGGATGGGGGCCGCGACGGCATCACCTTGGTGAATCTCTTGATGGTCGGCCGAAAAGTCTATGCGGAAGTGTACACCCTGGGATCCGGCGGATGGGACTTCCCTGGCACCGAGGTGATAGAGATAGAGCTCCCGCATGCCACAACCTTCCTGCAAGAAATGCTGCCGCCCGTTCATGGCAAGGCCTTCGTGGTGACCACCTCTGGGTACACCCTGGGTCTTGACTTGGCCACGTCAACCTTCTTCACCCTCGAGCTCCCAGTTGGAGTGTGGCGCAGTTACCTGCTGTCATCTGCGAAGGATTCCGGGCTTTATCTCGTTAGTGCAGACGGATTTCAGCTCAGCGTGTGGCTCAATGGGATGACGGGTGATGATTATGGTGCAGCCGGTTGGTTGCTGGTGGACACATTTAGTATCCATGAGGCATGCACACGTTTTACTGATCAAAATCAGACTTCGATGCCACAAGATGGTGATTTTCTTCGTGTTGCTGCAGTTGGGGACAACGCCGAGTTTGTATTCTTGGATTATGCAACATATGGTGTTGTCCTTTATGTTCATCTGAGGAGCAGAGTGGTTGACAAGGTGTATGAGCAGGCACCGTATCATCATGGTAATATTCATCCGGGTATAAGCCGCATACATATCTCTCCCTTTATGATGATGTGGCCACCTGTTTTCCCTGCACTGAACAGAAGACATGATCAAGAGCAATGATCGCAGTGTGTTTGATCTTTGTTATAACGTCGACTTCTATAATAGCAAGCTATGTTTCTCTGGTGAGGTAAGGAAATGGATGAGCAATTTAAACCCATTTATATATTCAGATCGTTTTGACTGCATCTTGTCTAACTAATGTATACCATGTTACTGTGTTTAACTCCTTCAGAATTTGTCATTACTCTGCAATCAACATGTGTAGTTCCGTCTGCTATTTGGCCAACAAGTATGAGTAATAGGCTCTTGGCTTGTACTTGGTTTCGAGTTTGTCAACAAATATTGAGATTTGACACTGCAAATGTTTAGACATTCGTGCCATGTCATATAACACTATATGTTGTGGTCATTTAATTTGGATCTTAAGAACCTGAAGTTTGCAGAAGTGCATTGCAAGTTATCTGGCAGAACTACACTGAGTCCAGAGCCTTCTAAGATTGACTACAGTGTGTATAAGATATTACTTTTACGAGCACTTAATCATTAATGACGATTTTGTGGCAATGATTACCTGATTAGTGCACAGATGGCCGAAGAGAAATAACTGGAAGTACAGCTTGTGGCACAAGTGCTAATATAGGTTTCTGGCCGTAGCTAACTGTATGCTTTTTGGTCCCTCCCAAAAGCTAATACTTGGTCTCCCTGATTTGCCACACCTCACAGTGATTCCCTTACACCTCAATTAATCCTGAAATACTGCACCTATGACTTTCTCCTCAACTTATAGTTTTTCATAAATGCTGGGCCATCTCCCTCACAAAGCTCAAGAAATAACAGTATATTGCTAGCTCAAATGAAGTAAGCTGATCCGAATTTGGATCTGAAGAGAGTATGATTCATGGACTTGTTAGGAACATGAAGTATTGACAACGTTTGGCAAGTTCCTTAGCTCTACATGATTGTCGTAACTAATCCCCCTTGAGCTGTTGACACTCCAATGCTAATGCCTCTTCTCAGAAACAAATCCAGAAAGGAAAAAGTATGAGCTATGTACCAGTCTCATCTCTGGTGGGAAACAACAACCACTACTTACTGCTAAGAACTTCCATCAACAGTGAGCGGGGAATATAGATCTAGTTATGCGGCATTTTGGTTCATCTCATTTGTGATTTCCTGGAAGACCTGCAGGTGGTTCTGCAGCCTCCATTGTACTGTGCTCGCTGTGTTCCTAAGCCAGTGGTTGGTGGCTTTGGTGTGACTAGCATCTTGAGAGTTTCCATTGTCAGCAAATGATACATGACAGTGGAAAAGTGAACTCTGAGCTACACTGCTGTTCCATGGTTTTGTGTGATCTCGAATCATCTGCTGCTTCCATGCTGGAGCGGGCCTCACAAACTTCCTTTTCACATTCTCGTCTGTCGATATTCTGGAGTCATTGCATCTCCATGAACCTGCTGATGTACTTTTCCTTAAAAAAACTGCTGATGTACTTTTCCTATAAAAAAACTGCTGATGTACTTTGTAGCCGAACACCCCCAACCGGGGTTTTTAGGTTGCTGCTTTCTGAGAGGGTAATAGTGTTCTGTCACTCTGCTCACTTGCATTCTTGCTGCTCTCACCTTGCACAGTAGTATTTTTTGCCCACATTTTTCTTGAATAGGATTCTTGCTAGCATCTATGACACCATCATGGTTTGACAACCATTCAACTGAACTAGGAGTCTGAACTTGGCTCGTGTATTGATATTTGTTCTGTTCTTTTTAACTGGCTGCTTTCGTAGTTTCTCAAGCAGACTGTGGTGTGCCAACATCATTGAACAGTCTAGAAAGATCTTGGTTCTCCTCCAGACATTCTCCATTCCTCTCTCCATTATTAGCAACCAAGATTTCTGGTTGTTTGTGCTTCATCTCAGTTATCGGAGACAGAACCGCTTGTGAGTTGCAATCCTCATGCTTGTCTATATCCGCCGAAACTGAAATTAGTGGTTCCTCATAATTCAGTTGATTTGAATAAGTAGAGAGTATCTGTGGACATAGATATTCAAGGTTCTCCACATCAGTATATCTGAGTTATGGGAGAAGGGAGTGTTTGTATATCAAGCTCCCTAAGAACGTCAATAGCCCAGGCAAAAAGTCTCACATGGATTTCATCATTGCAGTTGTGAGGTATAGCTTGAAGAAGATATTTAGCTTGAGCTACCTTTCCAACTTCATCATGCAGATAACTGAAATACACTATTTGTTATAATCAACTTCTGTAGCAAGGGCTTGCCTGGAAATAATGCATGAGGTAGTGGAGTTCACTTCTACTTGTATCAACATTTATCAGTGCTGAGAACAGTCTTTACTCTCAGCATCCTTGATGCGGACTGTGAGAAATACAATGTTGGCAATAATATTTACTCAAGTCTTCTTACAGATAACACGAACATAGGATTGAGAATTTCAAGAGAACAATACTAACCATGTGTAACCAAACTCATATATATCTGGTTTGTAGGTCCATCCCCAACAGAGATATACCTGTAGAGCATTTCAGCTTCCTCATAGTTCTCAGCCTGCATGTAGTCGCATAATGGGGGTTTGCAGACACTTAGACTGACAGCATTTCAATCTGCTCTTTTGTCCTACTGCATTTCTGGTATGGTTTGTATCAGAAAAAAAATCTTGTCGCGCAGTTTTGATGTAATCTTTTGATAGAACAGATTTTCTGTAACAAGAGCACCCAGTCATGTAGAAGGGTTTACACTTTCGTGCTACTTTACACTAATGTCGTTTTCAAAATTTATCCTATGAGTAGCTTTATTTCTGCCAGGCAGTCTACCTTCAACATATTTCTCTATTTTCGTGCAGTTAAAAGATATCCTGATAGGTGGATACATGGAAGTTGCTGTGGAAAAGCTTGCTTCAAGGCCATTACATCCTCCTCCGGTTCTCCATGCATACTACTCTTGGGTTAGGTCAATTTATCATCTCATGAGATTCAGGAAGCAGCAGTCACTGCAGAATACCATTACAAATTTACAATGCATCTGATAGAACAATGTCATGTCGACATCGCATATTTATTGCTGTTTGCTCCCATGAAACTGGACGCAGACAAATTCCACCCAAGAGTAATAATGGAAAATTGAATTTGCATTTTGTGAAATTTTTCCCAAAAAATATATTTTTACAGGAATGTTTCCAAAAGGTTTGTTTAAGTGTGACTAATGCACGGAAGAGTGGGTTCCCTGACATTTACTCTTTCTTTTTCACTCAATAATTCTGTTTTCTATTAAAGAAAACACATGTAGCACTTATTAGGCTGTGTCTGGCGTTGCAACGGATTTTTCGTTTGTCCAATGTTTTTTTATCTACTTTCAGTTTGGTTTAAAACTACTTTTTGCATACTTTTGTTGCTAATTTTCTATCGCGGATTACAAGTAGTGCTCCCTCTGTAAACAAATGTAGGACATTTTTGCATTTTAACGTTTAAACTACAAAAATGTCCTACATTTGTTTACAGATGGAGTACATCTGAATGGGCTTAGATGTTGGGTCAAGATTAATGTATTTTTATTCTACTTTTTTTAGTAATTTGGCGCCCATGATAGGTCAGAGGCTTTGGTAACGACGTGAACAAGAGAACAACTGTTCTTCACTACCAAAGTTCATACGTTGCTGTTGCCCACGGCCTATAGCTGGTTTGACGATGAAATGTGATCTTGGTATCCATGCAGAAGATTGGGGCGGTCTTTATTTGGAAGCTTTTACCCGTATTTGTTCTGTCCTTGTGACATAGCGTATCATCTTATCCTGAACTAGGTTTTCTAGCCAAGTCTCCTTTGGTGGAATGACAAAATCATGAGAGAAAAGGTGTTGTTTATATACATATGAACAGAATTTAAAATTTCTATGAAAAAAGTTCCATGCTGAAGTCAAGATTTTCTTGTATGGTCTTCACAAACTATTGAATCTTTTTATAGAAGAAAAATATTGATTGCTTAATGGAAAACTTTCTTTTGAATAAGTTTAACTCAAGAGGAAAATAAAAATAAAAGCAGGGCACATGGCCATGGGTCATTTCTCTGCTCCCAGAGCAAAGAAACCCCTTTCCCTCCGCAAAATATCCCTGAAAAAGATGGGCAGGGACGGACGGACGACGGCGGTCGCTTCCGTGCCATCGGTGCTCGGCGACGACGACCTCCACGAGATACTCCTCCGCTTAGGCTTCACTAACTGCCTTGTCCCTGCAACCCTCATCTACAAGCGGTGGCTCTTCCACGCCTCGGACCCAGCCTTGTTTAATTAAACTCTGGCTTTCTGGAAATGCTTTACAACTTATACTACTCCCTCCGTTCCTTGATATAGGGCGTATAGTTTTTTATGAAAAAAATCAGATTATAAGGTGTATTCCTTTAGTTGACTCTTTTACCCCTACATCATGATAAAGTGGTGCTATTTAAGTACTAAGTATAGAGGCACACATCATGAACAAATTTTTGAACCATCCATAATATGTAAGATATATATTTGTCCAGGAAAAAATGATAAAGTGGTGTGCCAATCATTAGGTACTAAGTTTGTCGTAAACATTGTGTGTACTCTAGCTGTTTCTATTTTAGTATATCTAATCATAGAAGACCTCTATAAAGATATTTATATCACACTTTAGAGGTCTCTATTAAAATATTTAAGGATGCACACACATACATATGCATTACATTGATATAAGAATCACAAATTAATCCAAGAAGGCATGCATTTTTTTATTTTCACGCGTTTAAGTCAATCAGGTTTAAATATGTTTTAATTCAAAATGTATTAAAAATGAGCACTATGATTTAACAAAATAATTTGTAAATAAGTACTAAAGTTTAGTATAAATAATTTATTCTCATTAGGTACAACACAACTTGCTTCCTACAAATTTTGTTTCAATTGAGGTTATCTGATCACCCGATTTTCGAGAACTTTAGAAATGGCAGGAGTGAGAGAAACTACTGTCCTGAGCGAGCTGAATAAACTCCTGCAACATAAATAAGTTAACAACATGGGAAAAATCATAAATTCTTAATT